AAGACATCAGAATTCTTTGTGAGAGATGGTATCCTCTATTTTAGAAATCGGTTGTGTATACCTCCATTGAGGAGTTAAAAAAAAAATTCTTATGGAGGCTCATGAACACAGTACACCGCTCATCCGGGAGCAACCAAGAGTATCAGGATATTAAGAAAGGCTTATGGTGGTCGGTATTGAAGAAAGACATCGCGAGTTTGTGGCTAAATGTCTAACTTGCAGCAGGTGAAAGCAGAACACCAACGGCCGTCAGGGTTGCTTCAACCATGAGTATTCCGGAGTGGAAATGGGAGAGCATTTCAATGGATTTTATCACGAGTCTTCCCAGAGTAGAAAGGGTGTAATGCAATATGGGTGATTGTGGATAGATTAACCAAGTCAGCCCATTTTCTCCCAGTAAAGGAAAGTACCACTACAGATCAATGGCTCAGTTTACCTCAAGGAGATAGTTAGATTGCATGGTGTGCCCAAGACTATAGTGTCAGATAGAGATTCCAGATTTGTTTCAGCCTTCTGGCAAGTTACAGAGGAGTTTGGGTACCCGTTTAGCATTCAGTACTGCTATCATCTCAGACAGATGGCCAAACTGGAGAGAACGAATCAGGTGCTCGAGGATATGTTGAGAGCCTGTTGCATGGATTATAGAGTATCCTGCATGAGATGTTACTTAGTAGAATTTGCCTACAACAACAGTATCAGTCTACAATTCGAATGGCGGCTTACGAGGCTTTGTAGGTAGACGGTGCAGGTTTCCACTTCATGGGATGAAGTAGGCGAAAGAGATGAGTTGAGTATTGCTCTTGGGCCAGAGATGACTCAGAAACTAGTAGAAGATGTGAAGTTAATCAGAAATAGAATGAAGCAAGCCCAAGATCGACAGAAGAGTTATGCCGACTTGAAGAGGAAAGAGGTAGAATTCCAAGTGGGCGACAAAGTATTTCTGAAAGTTTCCCCTACAGCGAGTAATGCGCTCAGAAGCAAAGGGAAATTAGCACGCGTATGTAGGTCCTTTTGAGATCTTACAACGAGTAGGAAGGTGGCTTACAGATTGGCACTACCACTAGTATGGACAGGGTGCATGATGTCTCCATGTCTCGATGCTACGGAAGTATGTAAGTGATCCCCTCCACATCTGAGCGTAAGAAGACGTTGAAGTAACAGAGAATCTATTATACGAAGAACGCCCAGTTCAGATTTTAGATCGAAGGGTTAGAACTTCGGAACAAGAGTGTTCGCTAGTGAAGGTCCTTTGGAGGAATCACAAAGTGGAAGAGGCCACTTGGGAAGTAGAACGAGACATGCAGAATCGTTTCCCAGAGTTATTTGCATGAATCGGGACGAAATCTTTAAGGGGGGGAGAATTGTAACGCCCCGCTTGAGGTTCGTTGTTATTGTTTCCTCTTTTGCCTTATCGAGTTGGCTTTTTGGTTATTGTTTGTTGAATGTTTGCCCTGAAAATTGGATGAAAACAGAGAAGTTCAGTCTGCCGTGCTTCGCCGGGGCGAAGAAGAAGCTTCGCCGCGGCGAAGATGTGTGAAACAAGGGGAACCCCTGGACAGTTTCGCCGCGGCGACAGAGGTTTCTTCGCCGCGGCGACGGGCCGAATAAAAGGTGATTGAGTTTAGATATTTTTCCTTAAGGACAATTTGACCTTTCTACCCTAATTAGCAGGAAAAGTGGGGAGTTAATTGTAGGATATTTCATGGAGATAGGTTGAGATAGGGGTGAGTTTGTAATGAATCAAAGGATATGGATGGAATTCCCAAATTAGAACAAGGGCAAATGGGATTGAGTGTGTTAATATTTCATTAAAAGGAATTAGAATCAAAGAACCTCCATTTCTCTTCTCAAAAACGTGACTCTTCATTCTTCTCTCTCAACTTCTCTTTCTTTTTGATCAAGGTTTTCCAAGGGATTTTGAAGTGATTTGGAGTAGAAAAGCAACCTAGGGCTTCCTAAGGTAAGGATTTCTCCTTAAGTTGTGTGATTTGTGAGATTTAGTTCATTTTGGTGTTTGAGGGTTTTCTTTTTTTGGTTAAGATTAGGGGAAAAGTCAAGCTATCAAGTGAAAGGAAGAGTTTGTGAATTCCTCCTTCAAAGTAAGTAAAACCCAACCCAAGTGAGATTTGTGAATTTTCTTGATTAGGGTTTTGATAGAAATGATGTATGTATGTGATGTGCATGTAATATAGCATGTATGAAGGATTAAATAGAGATTTCTATGCTTTGTGATTGTCTATACCTTGCAAATTTGAGAAAGGGTGTTGGTTTGGCAAGGTAGTTGAGATGGAATTAAGGGTGATTATGTATTCCCTTTTTGGAAGTGTTTTCTATGGCAGGTTTTGTGGCTTTGTGAAGGGGTTTTTCCCCATTTTGGATGGCTAAGAAAAGTTTAGAATCAGGCTATGATAGAGTTTTATAGTGCACATGAGTTGTTTGATGAAATGCCTATAGAGGTTTGAGTATGAGAAATGAACCTTAATTCTTGCAACATGCATGTTGGATCTCATAGTGCATTGGTGAAGATGAACCATCCATAGGCACTAGTTGTATATGAAAAAGTGACCTAAGAAAGTGTAAGAAATGGGTATGCAATTACCCTATGAGTAGAGAGCTTAGTGGGTAAAATACTAAGGGTAGAGAGTATTGAAAATGTACAATAGAATGAATTAGAAGAGTAGTATAGTTGGGATGAGGCTTTGTGATCATCACCGACGTTATGGGAATCGGATTGATGCTTGGTGATCATCATCCGAATAGCCCTTAGAGTGAGGGTCGACGCTTTGTGATCGTCACCGATGAGTAGTAGAGAGGGTAGATGCTTTGTGACCGCTACCCGGTTAGTGATAGATAAGTAGGTTGATTCTTTGTGATCATCATCCGATATTTAGTAGAAACGGGTGATGCTTTGTGGCCATCACCCGATAGTGACTAGAGACGGGTAAATGCTTGGTGATCGTTACCCAAAATTCATGAGGAACGGGTAGGCGCTAGGTGATTCCACCGATAGTTAGAAAGAACCGAGTGGTGCTTTGTGATCCTCACTCGGTAGTCACTAAGAAAGGTTGGTACTGTGTGAATTCCACCCGATAGCCATAGAGAGTGAGATGGTGCTGTGTGAACGCCATCCGGCCGTACCTCCGTAAGATGAGGCCAAGATGTTATTAGAAACAGAAATAGAATCAGAGATGCAGAAGGAAAGAATTAAGAGTTATTCATCGGGGACAGAAAGAAGAGAGTTTTACTTACTGAGCATTATTTTGTGTCACCCCGTTATTTTCCTTGTGGATGAGGTTTAGTGATGTTGCGGTCGGAGGGGCGTCGGCAAGCAATGAGGAATAGCTACACTGTTTCCCCTGTTTTGTCTTTTAAAATACATTTTTGTAAACAGTACTCTTTATGTATAAAAGACACATGTTTTGTAATGAAAAGAAAACTTTGGGCCCAACTTTTCTATGATATTATGCATGCATTGTACAGTTTTCAGTAGATGTTACACAGAATACTCCTCATGCATCAATATTCCAGGCAAATTTCTAGAGAGTATTGATTAAATTGTTACCCGACTCTTGGATGACGAGTTACAAGTCTCTTAACAAAAAAGAGACTCGGTGGTTTCTACAAAATCTACCATGCATGACAACAGTGACGGAACAACAACTATTAGATTTAAGTCTCCAGCAACTCCCAGTGCTCACCTTTGAGTTTTCGACAAACTTAATTCATGATTACTCCGGTCATACCCACTACCACAGTACGGGAACCTGGACCTTCCATTCATTCTTTTCAACAATCTGGTGCTCTGTCTACCATCATATGATCCAGTACTGGTACAACTCCATTTGATCTTGACTGCCAAGCTCGAAATGCCGTGATGATCCTATTTGGGAAAACGATGAGCATTATCTTCCAAGGCGAAATATTTCAATCAGAAAAAGAAGAAAGCTGCTGCAGTCAGACAGATCTTCATTCCTGCTTTGAAGAACATGATCCTGAAGTTGGTCTTCTTGGTCAACCATCTGGTAAATTTGACTATTATGTCAAATATTCTCCACCAGCCAGAAAAGATTCACCATCTAGTAATCCCTCATGGGACATCCTCCGAAACCTCAACCCAAATCACCTTTAAAACTATCCAAACCTGCAAAATCACCTTACTTCAGACAGCCTTTACCATGTTATCAACAATCTCTGTGGTGGATTGCAAAAGAACATAAAACAACCCATTCACCCCTTGCTTGTACTCCTCCTGTTCAGTCGTTATAATGATCCAATCCCTAAGCTCTAAAGACAGGACAACATTTCAATTATGATACAAATTTTCCTTCTCTTCAGGAAACGCCACTCAACAATCGAGAGTTGTTCCTTCCAAAGCTATACAGCCTGATGGATCCACACCTAAACTCTCCCAAGCTGAAGCGTTTCAACTGGCAAAGAAAATGCTTTAGCAAAACAAAACGTGACCAGACTTGAACAAAAACTGGATTTAGTAGCTCATAGTGGACTCTCAGTCTCAGAACCAAACTATGCTGATTTCTCGGCTACAAAAACAAATGATCATCTCCATCACCGGATTGATCAGCTCCATCAAGAAAATGCATATTGTCAGTAGCTCATGGCTATTCAGCTCAGTTTCCAGAAGGAAGCAGAAAGAAGTCACTAAAAACCCAAATGGCATCGCGTCAGCAGGAATATCTTAAGCAAAAACTCAGACAACCACAGACTTTCCCTGAAATGTCATTAGTACCAAACCCTTTTGATTCCACAACAGCATGGCCACAACCCTCTTTTTCCCCTTTCCTAAAAATTAGCAACATTGGTCTCACCTCATATACCTTCTAGTGCTGTTCAAGCTTTGGCAACACTAAAAATTATATGCCAAGCTCCATAAAGACTGATGAAAAGATCAAGATGGAACGAGAACAAAAGAAGAGAGAAAAGTATTCTGCTATACCGCGGACTCCATCCACTGATATTCCTGACTCTTCTCTTCTAGTCACTCAGATCCTCCATCTCTTAAGCTCATCGTCTTTATATAGGATAAGGCTCCAATGCACATATGATGATGGAAGACCGCCCACCTTAGCTAATCCTGACTCTTCCGAAAATCCCGTCTCCTCCAATTTCATGAGCTTTTTTGCGAGACATGGCAGAAAGGCAACGTCTTGCCGCTTCGGGTCTTTCTCAGGATTCTCTATCAACTTCCAAACAGAATCAGAAGCCACTATACCTTCAACGATGAATCATTTGAAAGTGAATTTGACTCTAACAATGATACTTCTGACAATCATCATGTTTATCCCCAACTGATGACCCATCAACATGAATCGTCCAGACCACCTGTTGTTTCTGAGGTCGATGATGAGATGCCGAGGTGATGATTCCATTCTAGACTCTCCGCCTATGTATCGACAATCTCGTCATACTCCGGCTGAACGTGACTCTTATACAGCTTCAGCAAGCTCCACACGTTTACCGTCGATGATCTTCCTCCACACAAATGGAGAACTCGAATGTATGAATTTCAGGCCTGGTTACAAGTGAGATGCTGAAACCTAATGCCCAAGTCTCTATGTACTTACGCAGTTACAGCTAGATTTGGAGGCATTCTCGTGATTGGTGGATAAGTCTTCAGGAGTATAGACAAAATTTGTTCATCCAAATGCCAGATATCAAACAGCACTGTATCTCCTGTATGATGAATTCTGTGGATTACCTCATCTTATTGAGAACCAAGTCAGAGAAGATTATTAAAATGCGATGCTGTTCTCTCAAAAAGAAAGATCTTGACAAGCATTATAAAGAGATGGTAAAAAGGTATCATATACTTAGGGGTATGGATGATCCTAATATGAAGCAAGCCTTTTGGCATCAATTCCTGAATCCCTAAGTCATGAAGCAACAAGCTTATGCAGTCCCAGAACAAACAACTTGGCTCCACTTCTCTTGGTGAAATTTACCAGTTTGTTATTCTTGCTCTGGAAAAGCTTGTTCTCAAAAACAATTTTTTGATGATTATATGAAGGTTCTAAACAGCTGACAAAGGTTTGTCAACCACCAGACTGCAGATCAAGTGCAAATCAGATCGCTCATGTTCTTGTCCTACCAAGAAGAAGTTTCATTCTAGACGCATCAAGTTTTCTCCGCCTAATGCTCCGGCTCGACGCAATTTCGACGTTTCAAGAACCGCAAGTTTCTTCGCAAAAGGAAACGCAAAGGAAAACGGTTAATCGGTGTTATTTATGCAAACGCCGCGGTCATTTGCCAAAAATTGTCCAACCAAGCCTAAGCAGTCAGTCAAAATGATGCAACAACTTTCTCAGCTCACAGATATTGATTTTTCTGATGATGATGTTGAAAGTGGTTTTCAATGGATGAAGAACCCACCTCAGACACCATTTCCAGTTTGCAGCCACTGATAGAGTACTCTGATTCAAATGATTGTCACTATTTCTCACATATCAACACAAGCACCACAATCACTTCCATCATTAGCTTCTCATGTCACATACCTACAGCAAAAGTTCAGAATCTTCCTACTAAATACTCAAATCCTGTTTCAGTAATTGCATTCTTTGATACTGGTGCTACTCGTACTATTATCAACCCTAAGATCCTTCCAGCCTCCAGTGGAAACCTCATCAGGAAATATTCTAAACTGTAATAGTGAGACTTTCACTACTCATTGATCAGCCAACCCATTAAAATCCAAATTTCCCAGGCTGTTTCACTTTTCATAAAGTTCTTGGTTCCGATCTACCTGGCAAAGACATGGTTCTAGGTTTTGATGTTTATTCTAAACTCAGTAAACTTAGAATCCTCCCTGATGGGGTTCGTTACAAGATGTTTTTCCAATCCTGGACCACACCAGCCTAATTTAATCCAGATTGCAGGCAATCCTATTGAGCAAATCAAGAACCAGCTTATTTCTCGTTCTTGCGCAGATTCTCATGCTGATTTTCTCACTAAATGTGCTCATCCATTATGGAAGAATTCGGAATTCTTTATCCGTCTTCCATTCACAAAAGCGAAGATATCAATCCCACTAAAGCTAGTCATTCCGGCATGTCACCGGAACATCTCAGTCTCGCCCAACGAGAATACTCAGCTTTTATCTCAAGGATTGTTTGAACCCACAGACTTCAATGGCATGTGAAGCTTTTTATGTCAATAAACGGGTAGAACAGGCCAGAGGAAAACTCAGACATGTCATCAATTATCAGCCCTTGAATTTCTTCCTCGTGATGATAAATTTCCTCTGCCTTCCAGACAAGTTCTTTTTGCAAATCTCCATAATGCAAAGATGTTTTCAAAATTTGACCTCAAAGCTGCTTTTGGCAACTTGGAATTCATCCTGATGATCGTCATAAGACTGCTTTCTGTATAACCAATCACCACTACCAGTGGACAGTCATGCCTTTTGGACTAAAAGTCGCTCCTTCCCTGTTCAGAAAGCCATGACGAAGATTTTTGCTCCCCTTCGCATACATGTCTCATTTATATCGATGATACCTTCTCTTTTCAAAAGAAGAGGAATCTCATATATGTCTTCTTGTGACTTTGCTGATATCATCACCACTTATGGTATCATGCTATCTGAGAAGAAATGCAATTGGGGCAAACAAAGATTGATTTCTCGGTATGGTGATTGTGATGGCAAGTATGATCTTCAGCCTCATATTGCTAAGAATTGCAAAAATTCCCAGATGTTCCACAACCAAGAAGAAATACAACAATTCTGGGAATGCCAATTACATGCGCTGTTTCATCCCCAAACATTTCGTTTCAACTATCCACTTTCCCAGATGCTTAAGAGAAATCCTCGAATGGTCTGAAAAGCAGACAAATGCAGTCAAGAGTCTCAAGCGTCATCCTTCCATACACAGCCATTGAAGATCTTCTTTGGGGAAACGCATTCTTCAGACGGATGTAGTGACACTCATTGGGGTGCAGTGCTTTTGGAACAAGATGACGACAAGGTACGACATTGTGTGGATACCAGAGTGGACAATTCAAACCACACCAGCAGCATTATCATTCTACTTTCAAGGAAGTATTAGCAGTCAAAAATTCCATTGAAAGGTTTGAATTCCACCTTGTTGGACATCATTTCTTTGTTGAAACTGATATGAAGTCTTTTGATCAAATGCTTCGTTTCCATAAGAAAAAGGTTCCACATCAGCAGTACTTGTTGGGCAGAATGGTTCAGTAAAATTCCTTCACCGTCCAGCATATCAAAGGTCACACCAACACCATTGCAGATTATTTATCCAGACCTAAAACTAAACAAGTTGGTTTCTGAACCCTAGATCCAAACCTCTTCCATGTTTTTGTTCCAACCATTAACCCAGTCCAGGTCTGTCTCATCCTCTTCACCAAACCATATTCCAGATGTACCTCCTGAATCGATAACCTTGTTCAAACAAGTACCCTTGATGAAAATGCTACCACCCTCATGTTTCTTACCAACTTCAATGCATTGAAAAATGTGGTCAATCCATGTATGATATGTTAGGGGTCATCAGATTACCCTTTTCAAAAATCTTTTGTTACCTCCAGGTCTTGATACATATTCAAAAGAATATTATGGTTTTGGTATAGTTACATCAATACCACATTGCTATTCAATTCCCGATCCATCATATGTGAAAATAATTTCCAATACCAGTCAACCTCAACCCCTGAATTACGTCTTGATGACTTTTCTCCGATGGTTCAAAACCCTTACAATGAAAATCTGTGTTTGCTCACCAACTTGCCGATACAAAGGTCCTATGTCTACCAAAATGGCATGGTCTATAATGTTTTTTCACAGACATCACTCTATCCGATCTGATGGCCTTATTTTTCTCACCATCAAGTCACCTTTCATCGGGCTTTCCAATGATCTTGTCCCTACTATGTTGATCATCCTATTGAGACTAGATCAATTCAAAAAATCTTTTGAAAAAAACAGATCATTCCAGATGCAATAGGCCATCCTTTCACGATGAGCTCGTGGGAACCCTTTCCTCCAGACTACACTGAGAAATTTCTCCACGCCAAACAGACATGCATATATTCCATCAATGCTCAATCCGATGACAATTCATCTTACCAGAATGGTGGTACCCGGACTCACAGCCAGATACTGTGCAGGAAGAAGAGCTTCAGCAGTCTGCATTACTATCTCCATAAATCCAGGCGGCAACAATACGTGCATGCACCAAGTATATTGCCACGCCAACATCTCAGATTCTAGACATTTCTTTGGAACTTATCTAGATACATCTCCCCGACAAATCCCTGCTGAAGGATTCAATCAATGACTGTCTCGACTTCCAGGATGAAGAATCGTGGCACGTTACCAACTTGTCAGACGATAAAGCTGTGTGTCTTAAATTAAATGGTGGTGTCCTTTATGTAAAATAGGAGTGGACTAAATGGCAATTTGCCTTTTCATTGTAATATCCCGTAGCCATTGTAAAAAAGTCAAGTATTGTAAGCTTTGTTTTGTCAACAATTGTAGCTACTATTAAAAAAAAAAAAAGTAGCCTGTAATTAATGCCTCATTTATGAGTGCTTGTCTCCTTGTATCTATAATAAAAGGCTTTCCTTCTCGGGAGGGGAGGAACTTGATTGAAAACTTTGCAAACACTTTGTTTACTTCTCTCACTCTTCCTTTCCATATTTCTCTACACTTCCATACTTTCTCTACACATCGAATAACTTCTTCCATGTTTCTTTCATATTTCTAAGTTTTCTTCAACTCTCAAGGGTGATGTAATACTTGAAAATTGTGTTATAGGTAGCAAAAGATCCGAATATATGTTTTAATTTATGTTCTTTAACATGTTAATATTTATGTTTTCCTTTATGTTCTTGTTCTTCATTTGTGTACATGTTCTTCATTATATTTATGCTCTCCATTTGTTGTTGTTAATTTTCACTAGCCCTTTAGATGATGTTAGAAGCTGCGTGGGTGTAGTGTGTGTTGGGATAAAAGAAGGGCCTGACCATTTTTAGACCGACGTTGGTGTTGATTTGTCCGCTAGGTCGGGCTATCATAGTTTCCCACATGCATAAACTCCATGATTTTCTAACAACATCTCTAAGGTCTAGTAATCCTTGTGGGTTATAGATAGCAAAAGATCCGAATATATGTTTTAATTTATGTTCTTTAACATGTTTAATATTTATGTTTTCCTTTATGTTCTTGTTCTTCATTTGTGTACATGTTCTTCATTTATA